TGCAGCCGGGACCCCAGCCCAGCCCCGACCCCCGCGCGTCCCGGCGGTGCCCCAGTCCGCGCCCCGGACCCCGGCCAGCGCTGTCGGGGACCGCCGGGGCCTCTTCTCCCAGGACCCCGGACCCCCGTGCGCCCAGCGTGACAGGACCGATAGAAGCCCCTATTTCTGACCCCTGACCCTCGCCCCGGAAGTGGGGTGACTCGGAAGTTCCGGCTCAGTTGCTAGGAAACTGGCCAGCGGGGGGCGGGGCTTCTGCCTCCGCTCGTTGGGGGAGGCAGGTGAGGCAGGTGAGGCCGTGGGAACTGCACGGAGCCCCGACAAGACCGGCCTGGGCACCCCGCGCACTCAGGAACCTCCTCACCGCACGCAGACACACTTCTAGCTCGCCTAGCCCACTCCCCCAGGTTCATCCTTCACTTAAGTGGACGGCACAGGTGGGTCAACCGCTCCCAAACCGCACCCACGAGCCGATGCCTAAACATATAAGGGGGTCCTGTACACACACACACACACACACACCTATACACATGGGACCCCTCAGGACTCAAGGGACCTCGGATAACTGACCACGGACACCGGGAGTCCACCACACTGTGCCCAACTCCTATAGAAGACCACATCCTCCACGACCCCCACACAGTGGACCTGCACCCACTCATCTGTTCCTACACCAACTCCAAAGGCTCCGAAGACCCTCCTTCACACATGTACACCAACTGCCTCTCATGCAACCCAGGATGCTGCAAATACTGGATCCTAAGCAGACAAGAGACTTCATGTGCATAACCCACCCACACACCACCCCCAGTGCACCTACTCTCTCAGTTGCACCAAGGTGCCTAATCTACCCAGTTCTCCCTCCAATCCACTCTCTACTTAGGCTTGTCCTGCACTCAGCCAGATGTCCAAGCCTTCTCCCTGCCTACCACTTCCACCCCAAGTTCTTGCTGTCTGCCACCCTGCCTGAACCCTTTCTGCCAGACAGCCTTCAGTCTCCTGATTCTATTTTCAGGACCGCTACGCCTCATTAAGTCCTTCCCCAAAATCCTTTGTGACTCCTCGTGGCACCAATGGGGTAGGAGCACAGATGTATGGGGTCAGACCTCTCACTACCCAAGAAATTGTCCTACCTCGGTTTCCCACGCAGTGGGCCCTAGTGAGGGGTTCTAGGGCATTGGAAAACCCTAACCCGGGCCAAATCAGGAAGAAGAGTCTGCCTAGGGGAACAAACTTGGGGTGAGTTTTGTGGACTAGGGGGATGGGCACTGTTTCCACGACCAGACAGCAACATTTGCTGAGGCCAGGAGGAGATAGTTTGAGGATGGGGAGGGGTCAGGCTCAACTGACTGGTTTGAGGCAGTGAGAGGCACATGCCTACAGAGCCCAGGCTGTTCAGCTGGCAGCCCTGAGCTTTGGAGACTGGAGACTGGTGCCAGACCCCAGACCTGGGAGTTCCAGCAGGACATGCTGAGCCAAGGTTGCAGGGGGCAGACACAAAGGTGAAGGGGGACATGCTCTTGCCAGGTATCCTTGCTTAAGCTACAGGACACCTACTTAGATAACCAGGGACAGGCAGGTGGACTAGGAAGCTGGCTGGGAAGTGTCCACCCATGGCCAGTGTAGTATTCCCTGACCTCTGCCCTTCTAAATTTACCCTACCTGGGCTTTTCCTTCCCATCCCCAGGACAATGAGCAGTAAAAAGGGGGGTGCCAAGGCTGCATCAGGGAAGTGGCAGGTGCCAGTCCCTGGGTCCAAGCTTTGAGCTGGGGGTGGTGAGTGTGCCCTTTTGACCTCCAGTGCACTACTGCACACTGACCATGAGACCTCTAGGTAGCTACACAGGGCCTCCTCTGAGTCCATTCTTGAGTCAATCTTCCTTGGTTGTGATAGGCTTGATGGTTCAACCCTCAGACATCTACTACAGCCTGGGGCTCTGGAGCTGGGGTGGGGACTGGCCACAGCACTCAGAAGACAACTTTAGAGTCCCTGGATTTAGGATGGGGGCAGGAGGAGACTGGAGGGGCAGGTGGCTGAAAAGCAGTATTGAAAAGGAGGGCTTGAGTCCAAGTTGGGAATTCTCTTGCTAAGAATGTGTCCACTTACTGCTCCACAATCCTGCCCCATGCTTCACCCTCAGACATCTCAGACACTTCCAGGCTGAAAGGTGACAGCTTACCTGGACTGACTCCTGTAGAGCATCAGGACAGGGACTTCCCCTGTGCCTGCCCTCTTCCTTTGGCAGTTGTCACCCCTCTGCTCTGAGCTGCATTCATTCTGTCGCCGCTGTGAGCACCTAGCCTGTCTCTCAGGCTTTTTGCACAGAGGCCTGCCTGGAATTTGTGCCTGCTGCAGAGTGTCCTCCCAGACCCAGATGCAGCCCTGTAGCTTGGACCAGACAACAGCCCAAGTCTCTGTATTCCAGAGAGCTGCCAGATTCCTGGAGCTAGTGGGGTGCTGGTGATACCAAACCACGCTGGGGCGAGATCCTGGTTGCCAAAAATAGCCCCAGCTGCGTCTGAGGCTGACCTTCCTCCTGGAATGAGGATAATGGGTACCAGCACTACATGTTGCCTCTGATCTCAAGCTCTGGGCACCACATTGCAGTAAACAGGAGGCAGGGCAGGTCAACCAGTCAGGAGACTCCAGATAGGGACTGTTCTCAGTTCTGCTGCAGTCCGCCAGCTGTGCAACCAGCCCCTAGTCAACATCTTAGAATGCACAGTGTCCTAGACAAATCCTGCAGCTATCTGTCCTGGCCCCTGACACCCCATCCTCAAACAAGTTCCCTCCCTCAGTTCTGCCTGCCAAGCATCGGGTGGTCTGGGCAGTCTTATGTGTAGTGGGCATCAGCCCCTCTTGGCATACAAGCCCACAGAGGTCCCACAGCCAGCCTGGCCTCCCAGCCTCCACACACTTATAGGATGTTTGAGTAACCATTGTGCTGTCAGACTGCCCAAGCCCCTGCCCACACCCCTCTTGCCTTACCTGGCCTTGGGTTTGCAGTGCCTCGAGGCCCTCACTCCGGAGCTGCTCCAGGGCCACGGCCAGCTGCAGCCCTTCCATGTGCACCCAGGCCTGTTCCTCCTGCAGCTGCTGCAGCCACAGTTGCTCCTCCTGCAGCTGCTGCAGCCACAGTTGCTCCTCCTGCCACAGCTGCATGTGCAGCTGGACCTGCTGCCTCCGGTCCTCCAGCAGCAGCTGCTCCTGGGCCAGGCACAGCTGGACTTCATGGAGTCTCAGCAGTTCAGGGCCCAGGGCTGGCATGGGGCCCCCAGCTCCACAGCCCTCCATGTGCCCAGGGGCCAGCAGCGGCTCGGAATTCTCAGCAGTGGCCTGAACTGGCCTCCAGGCTGCCTGTAGCTGCTCTGGCCTGGTGCCCCTGGAGTGTCCCTGAGGAGCTGGCTGGATGCTGGTCACGTGCCCTATGGGGGCCACCCCCGCCTGGTCCTCAGGGCCCCCTGTGTTGGGGGGCGGGGGCTCAGCCTCAGGGCCCTGCTGCCCTGCTGCCCTCTGGGCCCTGCCCACCCTCTTGCCTCGGGGTTTGCGAGCTCGACCTCGTTTCCCAGACATGGCCCTGGATCCGGTGCCTCTTTCACCAGGTGTCTCTTCCCCTGGGGCCTGGCTCATCCACTGGCCTCCTCAGGCAGCTCAGAGGGCATCCCAGAGGCCACAGTGGGCTGCTCGCTCCCAGCTAGACTCAGCCTCCGCTCCTGCTGTCCCAAGTGCTTCCCTGCCCCTTGGCAGGTGCCGGCACCTCAGTGGCCCAGCTCTAGGCCCTGGCTCTGCCTATGGGCTTCACGGGGCCCCACTCTGTGGCGCTGGGCCACACCAGGGAGTTTATAGGGACTTGGCAGCGCGGTGGCTCACCCTGGTCGAGAAGGCTGACTAACGTGCTGACACAGGGCTCCGGACTTTACAGGCCACAGGCCTCACTGGCCAGACTGGGAGGGAGACTGAGAAACTGGAGGCGGCTCTCAGTAGCTAGGCCGCGCTTGAGGACGTGCCCAATCCTGCCTGAGCAGCACCAAGGCCCCACACCCCGGCCCCTCCGCTGGTCGCGGGAAACTCAAACTGTGCCACAGGGCCAAGAGCTGCACCCCAGATGCATCAACACTCAGAACCCAGACCCTCACTGGCCATACACCAGCCCAACCCAACAGACCACTGGAGCCCCCAGCCCACCCTGACCCAGTCCAGGCAGCCTACTCAGAGGAACAGTGCTGGACTTGAGCTTGCCTAGGGCCTAGTGAAGATGAAGATTCCCTATCACCCCAGCGTGGAGGACTCAGGCCTCACTGTAGGCTGGTGAAGTTCCCAGATCAGGAGTCTAGCTTGTCCCCCTGAGATGGGGTGGGAGGGGCCGGCCTGCTGTCGGATTGGGAGTTCAGCTCCCCTTCAAATCAAAACAAGGCCCAGAGCATCGTCATGGAGCCTGCCTTTTGGTCTCCAGCGTGGGGTTGGGGGGGGGCCAAGGCCAATTCCCACCTGAGCTTTCCTTCCCAGGCTTCCTGTTTCGAGGCGTTGCTCCAGGTGACATCCTCCCCAGTGGTTCCCCAGCCCAAGCCTCTGACTCACACCCACGCCCAGAGCCTCATCTCAGCCAGCTCTACCACACTGGCCAGACTGGTTTGCCTGGCCCAGCCCTGCCCTGCGTACACCTCTATCCATCCCGCCCTTGCCTGAGAACCTCAGGAGCAGATGGAGAGCTGCCTGGAGCACTGAGTTGCACAGAGGCTGAAGGGCCTGGAGGATGGAAGGGGAGCTGTTAGGGTGAGAGACAGCAAGGCAGGCTGATGGAGAGGGCAGCCTTTCAGGAC